AATCCGCCTTCTAGGCGCTTGTGCAGCGCCTGCGAGTGACGGCAGAGACGTCTTGGTAGAGTTAGATGTATTTTATTTCCCCTCCAAATTGTCGGACGGAGGCGGGAAACCGGAAAGTAAATCCTTTTCGGCAATTTAGGGATCACCTTGCAGAATAAACGAGCTCTGCAAAGTGAGTTAAAGTCGCGTCACTAATTCACGGCCAACATCAAGAGGTTAATTTTATTTTTTTGAAACGTAAATTTGAGATTTCAAAAATGTATGTTAAGTCAAAAATTTTATGCCTGTGCGCGCCGGCGAGTGTTGGGTGTATCTCGTCGTGCGCACACAGGCTGTTTGACTCTGGCAGATTAATAACATGATTAATGTGACAATAATCGCGATAAGTTCGAATAACGTTTAAAGTAGGGATTTTCGGTACTTCTATCAAGTAAAAATAAAACATTCTATGTAGGATTAGATATAGAGCAAGAAAACTAGTTTACCTGCACATCCACTTATGAACTGAAGTATTTTATGGTCAATATATTTTTTCCAGCATTGTACTTCAGAAGTCCGGAGTCAGAACTGGAGTCAGAGTATCGTAAAATTTCTTATTACAATTATCCATTAAAAATATGTGACATTTTAATTGAAAATAAAAAAATATACGTATATTCTTATTAAATTTTAAACATAACAATATTTGACATCAATAAAAAGTGAAAAAATCGCCAATCGAAATTTATATGATGACTGAAAACTCTTTGCACATCGCAAATAACGAATCTTAACATTCTAGTTACAAGTGGAGCGGAAACTCATGAAATAATAGAGTATCACATCCAAGTGCAGCGCTCAAATGGTGAAGTAAATTTTCAGAGAATGGCTCAGCAGGCTGAAGGAACTTGATTTACAGTAGCTCTGCTAAGACGTATCGAACAGCCGTTTGAATAGCGCCAATATCCTGGCAATTAGTCTCTCTGATTGAGAACTTGAGTATCTGGTAGAGCAGCTCGATTACTCCTGTAGGTCGCATCGGATATTGGTTTGCTTAACCCCACTGTAGCGTCGACTCAGTGGCCGTATATGCAAGCTTATTAGATTAATATCCTTTTCGACATTCAATTCTAGCCATAATGCTTTTATTTGTAATTCAACTGAAATAAAATGGTCATATTTAAATGTTTTACTGGAATCATCCACTAGTATTTATATTATTACTGTTGAATTTAAAGTTCCTAACATAACATTTTTGAATAAATCTTCCGCTTGGTACGCGTGTGTCGTACGCAACATAGTTATAGTTGATTTTGATTAACTGATTAACGTCGTTGATTTAGTTCGATGTTCTTTACGTGCCTGGTTAATGGAAACAATTGGTAAGCCGTTTTTAGGACATCAATGAGTTTATTCTCGGAGTAAAGCATTTTAGAAAGTTTGTTAACACCATGTCAAATATTAATTCATAAGCAATCATTTTTACCGGTGTTTTTATGTTTTACAGAAACCGATTTTAATGAAAAGTGACTAGAAACTGGCGTATTCAAACCCTTTGAAACAAATAGAATTGAAAATTATTTTGCGTAAATTACTATTTAGTTATAAGCTTTGACACAAAAAAGGTAATTCACCATATTTACATTTAAATCGTATCGGAGACAAAGTCAATCATCAATTTAAATTTTTCATTTGAAAATAAACGTATTATATGCTTATTAAACAAATTACATACGATTTCTAACCTAGCGCAATCTGTTGTTACGTGCTATACACAACGGCAATCGTTGGGATGCCGATCAAGATAAATGTGCATGATTAATGTTACACAGCGCGTGCTAGGGAAAGGCTATTAACCTGCCTGCATAAGCACAGTCTATGCACAGTTGTGCACCTACATCTTGCTTATCTCCTAGCTTCCTTTGTGTCGTTGCTGTTGTTCTAGTTGTTGATACCTTTACTGATGTATTTGAAGAATACAGTTACATCTATTTTTATTGATATATTGGTGCTTCTGTCACCTCTGTTCTGTTTAGACTTTGTTACTTCTGAAGCAGTTAATCATGGAATTCCAATATTTAACCCTAGCTGCTTGCTTAACATGTCTTTAATGTTCTTAATTGATAACTAAAGGAAAAAATTTATCAATACGCTAATCTGAAGGGAATGCTGAACATAAATAGTGTCCCTTCCATGTTATAGCAAACCTAATTTAAACTTTTTTAGGCCTTTGCAACTTGGCCGTGGCTTTTAATTTTCGTTTAGTTGCCCCTTACATTTAATTGGAGGCTAATCTAATTGATCCTTAGAGGCTCGCTGCAAAACAGATTGCTCAAAGCGATATTTCGACTAATTTTTGTGCTCAATTAGTTCCTGTCTTATTCATTCACTTTTATTTGGAATATACTTTCTGATATGTTCAAGAATTAACTGTGCCACTCATCTCCAGAATAGAAAAGAATTATGAATATCGAACTTATTTTGATTTAAATGAGCTCTGGTCCTTTAATTAATATTTTCAACAGATAAAAAAATTCTCAGTGCATTGAACTATGTTTTATGATAATCAAATATTTCAGAAGTAAATTCTGTTGTTTGAGTAACAGTAAATAAAGTAGGAGTAGTCAAGTAGTGAATTCAAAACATTTGAGAAATAAATAGAACATCATTTCCATTTCTCCCTGAATTTTGTTTTTAATAATAGCTGGCAAATAAATTGTATACTTTGAGCATCATTAATGAAACGAATAAAAAACTTCAATGATACACAAGAAAAATCCAGAAATACATCAACAATGTTAATCACTTCATCATTTATATTCACAATTTCAATATCCTGTAGAAAAAATGTCTCGAGAAAGTTTGTTGCTATATATAACAGAACTGGCGAGACTCGTGGCTTGCACGTCTCTGTCTTGGGTCCCCCTAAACCTCACAGTTCCTTTGTTCATCTTAGGTTCCGAGAATATCCCTGCGAGTGAACTTTTTTAAGTCGTATAGGATTTCAATACTCAATATCGGGACGGGTTGTTTCGCATCTGCGTGACGCTCATCATGCACGAATCATTTGTTAAGGATGCAACCAGGTTTTCAGGCTCATCTGTAGTAATCTAGAACAATATATTTTAACAAATTCGAAACTGTATGAACATTTTACCTTCAACTGGATAAAATCATATATACCAATCAAATGGTTCAAAACAATCTCCCTGCAATCCTTTTTAGGTAACGTAATATGTCACGAATCTTGAATGAATATAGAAAATCAGTAATTTTGAATGCGTAATATTGAACCGATTCAGATATATGTACATTGCTAGCTAGGTTACTTAACTGGTAAAATTACATTTAAAAATCATCATGTATTCAAATTTGTATTGTTGAGTAGAGAAACCTGGCAATCCAATGCTGCTATGATGGCGCAACCGCCTGCCATGTCTCCATCATATAATTCCTGTCCATAACTGCAGGCAATAAGTCCAGCAGCTATCTCAATCAATCGTCAGTTATGGAAAGATCGGGTTCCAAAGGCCGGATCCCTTGTGAATCAAGTCACGAAAAGTTCAAGAATCGGCAACAGGCCATGGGCCTATTTCTTCAACGCCGACACTTCTATTCTATTCTATTCTATTCTATTCTATTCTATAACTGAAATGTTAAATATGACTTTCTTAGCCACGAATCTTTCTCATCAGATAATCATGGCAGTAAAAATGTTAGAAGCGCCGTCCCAAGAATTCTAGTAACGATCATTGATTATCTATACGGAACTTTTACCAATAAATTGCTGATCAATACTTAATTACTGAGCTCGTAGTAATAAATAACAGGAATTTATATGATAATCATCATTCAATCGAGAACTGTAATAACGAATAAATATTTTATTTTAACGAACATTATATATTCATTCGCTGCGCATATGAATAATTCGGTAACATTGCGGTTGAAGTGATCGCATATTGAAACGCATTACGAAGTTTTGCTTAAACACAGTATGTAGAAAAATGGTCTATAAAATAGGTCAAACGACTGGCATATTCACCTTTGATTGATTGTGAGATCGAGGTTTAATAAGTGTTCCCACATCTAAACCGCGATCCGAATTTATCGCGAAAGACCTAAATTTCTTGGACTTATTTTTCTTTCATATTATCACCCGCAAAAATATAATTGCGGGTGTAATTTATCACCACTCAAAAAAATTTCTCTGCATTTACTAAAAACAAAACCGAACAAAATCCGACGTCGCCCTTCCTTTAGTTCACACACCGGTGCGCGCGGTACCGCAGCTACATCCTTATGTTCCCTATGGGATCCCCGCATGACGTCAGCAGTCTGGGTTTTTTGCCGGCCAGTATATATTGGTATTCTCTTGCACTACACCTCTCGTCTCTGCCCTCGATCGCCATGGAGGGGCAGGCCATAACTGGAGCTTCTTTGTCTCCCCGAGGAACAGCAAACTTAGCTTCACAAGCCGGTCCTACCCTCAGCCTAAAATATGAGACGATATCGACGGTGTTTCAGCGCCAGTTGAACGGCCACCCATGATACGCGGATAATTTTGTATGTGTATAGTCGCGTCTTTGCGTTCGAATCCCAGTGACAAAATGAAATAAAATGAGGCAAAAAGAAGAGAAATTAGAGCTGCAAGCCTTCAGCAATGAGATTTTTTTGGGGGGAAGTAGCTCTAAACTTCTTCCGAGATCCAAGTTTGACTATATAAGGAAACTAGAAATCCTTTGCTCTGTCGTAATGAAGACGCGTCATTTGAAATTCATTATAAATTTCACAGTGATGATAAACTCTTTACAGGAGAATTCCATGATAAAAATAAATTTGGTTCGTCACAGAGATATTTTTGTCTTTATTCTTTGTAGCTTCCAGTAATGGTGACCCCTCTGTAACCATTTACACCCATAATAATTTCCCGTACCATGATTACTATTACAAGATTAATAAGCATTTCTTACTTAACGTCGCTGTTTCGTTCGTTCTAATATACAGACAATTTTTTGCAGAGGCCAAAATCAGCCAGCTCGACCTGAACCTCATGGACCTCGAGACCAGGTGAGACGCGCAACTCTGTTGTAGAAGTAATTCAGGAAGCTTGAAATAGGATATATTACTCATTATATTATATTATTAAATATCATTAATGTGGTGTATCAACATGTTTGCATATATACCATTAATATAATAGGCAATTATTTTATATATCCTGCGCCAGACTGCGTGCGGTGGAGCAGACGGTGGCGGTGCTGAGGTCAGACCTTCCTCCTGTCGTGGCTGACCTGCGCAACGCAGTGGACACCATCAGGCGCAGTCTGGAAGCTACGCACGTCACATCACTGCCAGGTGACTGCTACTCACCAGCAATACTTACTCTACGTCATCAATGCGTCATGCGCTATTAAAACATACTTACTTAATATGCACCATCAATCCCTCATGCACCATCAATACATATTTACTCCGCACCATCAATGCGTCACGCACCATTAATACTTACTTATTTAGTATGCACCATCAATCTTTCATGCAGAATAAATTTTTACACACTTACTCACTCTGCAGCATCAAAATATCTTGCAATCTTTCAAAGAAATGAGCAAGACTGTGCCCCAAATCTGATACACGTTTTTCCCTTGTGTAGCTCTGTAAATGGACGTATCAATGCTCTGTGTGGGAAGTGTGTCGCAATTTCGAGATTATGACTAACTTATTTTTCGTCTCCCTCACTTCGTTTCAATGAGGTTGCAAATTTTCAGTTCCTGAATTACGTCCTTACCAGCATTGCATAGACATGTCATTGGATAGCGAGATAATTTTTTCAAAAATTTTCACATGAAACAAGTTTACTGCTTAAATTATTCACTGGCAACTTTTTTATGGCTTTTTTCCTTATATGCTAAAATTTCATTGCTTATGTATGTATTTTGTCTATTAGTCGCTAGGCGTTCAGTATAATATTTCGCTCGCATCATTTCTCAGCTCCTCGACGAACCATCATCATTAAATTAACAATTCAAACCTTGTTACTCCGAATTTTACATCATGAACAACATTTAATGATAATAATAGCGGATTCGCGGTTTTTAATTATTAGGCCGTAGCCTGTCGCCGATTCAAGTTCCATCGCATATTTTCTGCCAGACGACTACTGTCACATTACATTCATTGCTCAGACTTCTATTGACTCAACATTAGTACTATGCGATTTTTTCACGCTAATCAACTGGCCGCCACCAAATGCCGTCATACCCAAGTTAAAATCATACTCATTTTTTTGCGCTAGAATGAGCTACAACCTGAGAAGATTTATTAGCATGCTCTATCCAACGGTAAAAAAGGCGCATTACAAATTTTTCAGTTTTAATATAGATTTTATATTATATTGTATTATATAATATTATACTATAATATAAGGGAGATGGCATCCCGTGTCCCCGGTCATACCGCGCGAGCTCGCACCCCTACTGGGAGCGAGTGCACTACCGGCGCAAGATGGAGGAGGACGTCTCGCTCGTCTTCGCGAGGTTCCGCGAGATTTGGTAACTTGCTTGTTCATACGAAAATTTTTAAACTTTTATCATGATTTATCATGCATTCTATTCGTTCTAGCTAGGCATTAATTAAGTTTTTTGTATCCTATTGAAATTTTCACTGAACATTCAGCAGCGTAGCCGAAATGTTATTCTGTGATGCTAAAGTTATTTTGTTCGCACTTTACAAAAATATGTTACTTTTTATCTTTTTTGGGCTCCTTTTTTAAAAAAGTGTTCATGGAAAGTTATTGATATTATTTCGTCGGAAGATATTTCAGTGCTTTCAAAATTTGTCAATAGTTCTTAGCTGAAAATTAATTCGTTTGCTTTGCTGCGTATTCTCAAGGAATGAATGTTGACGAGGGGTTATATTTTAAGATACCCTAAAAATTCTTTAACAGCAATGAAGAAATCTTATACAAAAATGATGTTTATAAGCAAGATCGTTTGATATTTGCAGGGACTCGGTGGTTGTTGAAGAGACTGCTCAGTGTTTGCGGCTCCCAACTTTCAACAACTGGGCCTGGGACGACAGCGAAGTGCTGATGCTGCTACAGCACATGTGAGCTCACTGGGTCCTTATACTGGGCTCTCAAACTGCCTATACTGAGCACATAACGAACACTCGATGTACATCTGCTGGGCACATTATGAACACTCGATTTAAAATAAGTATTCAGTAAGTGTGCCCAAAGTGTTTTGTGAGGTTACGGTTAGTGGTCAATAAGTGCACATTGAGTGTTCAATGAGTCCCTCCAAATGCACAGTAAGTATGCAATTCATGCACAACTACTGTACAATTACTGGACACTCGATGTATATTCAATCGCACTTTCTAGGCATTCGATATACCTCGACTGAAAACTTAGATTGAGTGATGCATACTTCTGGACCTTCGGAGTATAGACATAAGGCACTTAATGGATGTCTACTGTGAATCTATTGCATAGTTAATGTGCAATTGGAGACACTTCTTGAATGCTCAAAGTGCACTTATTAGCCACTAATACAAACGCTTTTTGCACACTTACTGAATACTTATTTTACACTACTGTACTCACGTAATGAATCTTGCTTTACAGCTACTGCACATCACTCTAACTAAGTTTGTGCAAAGAAACGTGAAATTGATCGTATAACTTTAAATTAAAAGTGTTGTCTAATAATACTTAGATCAGCCGTATACTGACCCTGAGGAGCTACCCTCGTAGGTATAAGGACCTGGGGCTGCTGGAGAAGTTCGACATCGAGATCGGTGTGCTGAGGAACTTCTTGTCGGTGGTGTACCTGCACTACAACCAAGTTCCCTTCCATAACTTCCACCACGCCTTCTGCGTCACCCAAATGGTGAGCGGGCAAATAAATTCTGCGTTACTTAAATGGTGAGCGGGCAAACAGGTAGAAATATTCAAATAAAAACTTTTTGTACCTGCCAGGGTGGCCAGATGGTTTTTTTTTTCGAACAAATTCCACGATTTGCAAAAATTTCTCATGATGGTACTTACGTATTGTATTATTACCGTCTACAAAAACTTAGTTTATGCAAAGCAACCAACAAATTTACTACTGAATGTTAAATTGTTGGTCTCTTTTGGCTTTTTTTGTCCGCAGACTGTATATATAGGCCTTTTTTGCCACCCCATGGCAAACAAATGAATTTCATGAGTGGCGAGGAAACGTAGATTGAAGATCAAAAGTCATAATATGTTCAGAGTCGAAGGAAGTTAATTTTCGTTTCCTTGTCCCACGTTCAAGGAAATTATAATTTATCAGAGTACTAGTGCAAATATACATATATGCTTATATCTTAACGTAAGCACGAATATTCACGCGAAATAATAAATCCTTGGTTGACGCTCAGTTTATATCTAGAGACATACGATCAATCCTTGCGAGGCGATTCTGTATTGAACTGTCATACATTTAGACCGTACATAATAAAACATTTACACATACTCTTTTATTTAAAAATATCATTTAATAAAAATAAAAAATTTTAAGCGAGTTAAAAAAATCTACGGATTTAAAATCAAACAATCCAGTAACGCACATCATTTCTGGATCTTCCACGGGTGGTCTCAATTCCTATCTATTTTGAACTATTAGTCTGTAATTTCTTATTGACGTTGATTAATTGATTAATGTCATTGCTTCTCATGATTTAATATTAATGTCTGAACATATAATTGATTTAATCTGTCGTTTTGTGGTAAATTATTTATCCATAGTAAAATAGGAAATAACTTTTCATTCACTCAATTATTTATCCATAGTAAAATAGGAAATAACTTTTCATTCACTCAATTATTTATCCATAGTAAAATAAGAAATAACTTTTCATTCACTCCATTCTAATTCGAGATGTACGGCCTGATCTGCAAGTGCCGGCTGNAAATAGGAAATAACTTTTCATTCACTCAATTATTTATCCATAGTAAAATAGGAAATAACTTTTCATTCACTCAATTATTTATCCATAGTAAAATAAGAAATAACTTTTCATTCACTCCATTCTAATTCGAGATGTACGGCCTGATCTGCAAGTGCCGGCTGCAGGAGCGTCTAGGAGACCTGGACGCCATTATCCTCCTCACCTCCTGCATCTGCCATGACCTCGACCATCCTGGCTTCAACAATATTTATCAGGTGACATTTTTAAATACCATGAGGGTTATTTACGAACGTTTTTTCCTCTAAAAAGTTATTCGAACGGTGCTACAATAGGTACCAAAGGTTTACCGTATTATGTTTCTGGCCACTAGATTATTATCAATGTTAAAGAACGTATTTTCTTTTCTGTTTTTGTTCTTTTGTCACTATATAACAGACGAATAATAATTAGATTTTTATTTTCCTCCTGAAATATTCTTCCGTCGTTGTTTTAAAATTAGCAAGATTTTACATTTTTTACACATACATAAAATCATCAATTATTCGGAAAAAATTTCTTGTCTTCTACGCTTTTGCGTCAGAGAATGACTCGTTATTGATGAAATAAAACATTATTCTCTCTTACTTGCATCAACCAATTATCAATTATGATTAAATCAAGCATTAATCCAATTGTTGACATAAACCATTATTATTTATAGGTTTAACTAAACATTACTCGTTATTGACCAGAAACCTTACTCTTTACTGCTCACAGAAACATTACTCATCACGATTTACGTAAAGTAATAATTTTCTTTATTACATAACTTTCCAACTCATTCCATTATTTTAAAGAACTCTTGCTTGTTCACCGTCAGATCAACGCGCGCACTGAGCTGGCGCTGCGCTACAACGATATTTCTCCCCTCGAGAACCATCACTGCTCCATCGCATTCCAGATACTAGAGCGACATCAGTGCAACATTTTCCGGTAACATCCATGGGGTTATTTTGTCTTCTCACGCTCTTACATCAGTAAAATTGTTTGAGGAAACTTTCAGCGGTAATTTTTTTATCGGAGACCTTCTTCAGTGATATATGTAGGTGTAGTCTGCGATATATAGGTTTATTCTATGAAATTGAAATTTTTTAAAATATTTTGAATTTTTTTTCATCAGTCTCCGCTTCTGATATTCTTAAAGCGTTCAACATTTACCAAAATTTCTGAAATGTAGTTATTAAAATATTTTTACCTTAATGCAAAACTTAGTGTCATTCAGCTGTTAATTTTTTATTTAATTTTAATATGTAATCTTTTTACTTTGTTATTATCAACTACGAAATTCTTCAGTGATACTTTTAATGAAAATATGCGATATAAGCAAGGGAAGAACAGCTTGTTTTTCTTACCGCACCGAGATCATAGAACTCTTCATTTTTTTAATCTCATATTCAACGTTTTTAGGGTAGGAACATTTTTGTTTCGGACATTTGGTATGTATGCACAGCTAATGAGAGTAGTTGCTGTTCCGTTGCACTGCTAATGAGAGTAGTTGCTGGTCCGTTGCACCGATAATGAGACTAGTTGCTGTTCCGTTGCACCGATAATGAGACTAGTTGCTGTTCCGTTGCACAGCTAATGAGAGTAGTTGCTGGTCCGTTGCACCGCTAATGAGACTAGTTGCTGTTCCGTTGCACTGCTAATGAGAGTAGTGACTGGTCCGTTGCACCGCTAATGAGAGTAGCTGCTGGTCCGTTGCACCGCTAATGAGAGTAGTTGCTGGTCCGTTGCACCGCTAATGAGACTAGTTGCTGGTCCGCTGCACCGCTAATTAATCAGAATTTTTACGATATTTCCGGTGCACGTCGCAGGAACGTGAGTCACGAACAATACCGACGGATCCGCGAAGGTGTGATCCGCTGCATCCTGGCCACTGACATGGCGCGGCACAACGAAATTTTGCGGGACTTCAGGGAAGTTATCCCAGACTTCGACTTTTCGAACCGGGCCCATGTCAATCTGGTGAGTTGTTTTGTTGACGTTCAGAATATTCTATTTTTTCAATACTATTTTTTTATCTGGATTTGTTCAACATATAGGTTTATCCCCAATTTGGGATAGAAATTTATTCACAGCCCTCTTAAAGATATTCGTTCAACAATTTTCGTTTACATAAATACCATTAATTTTTTTTATTTGGGGCATAATACACTATTTTAGGTTTAATATCGCCTTTATTTCTTCATCGATCTGCCACAATTTGTTTGAGAGAGCCATTAAAGAAACAACTTCTCAATTTTACCACCCTACTGCGCAGCTCTTCATGATCCTGATCAAAGTTGCCGACATCAGCAACGAGGCGCGACCTCTGGACATCGCTGAGCCTTGGCTCGAGTGTCTCATGCAGGTCAGGGGGATATAACGACGAAAAATAACTATATATTATAGCAGGTGGAAGTTGTTAGGTTAGATATTATCCTCTAATAAAGTCACCTGTCTCCTGCAAGTCAGTTGATTGCATCGTCGGACAAAATCACAATATTATGGATAGCAACGCTTTTTTATTATTTTATACTATAATAAAGGCACCTGCCCCTTGTATGTCGGCGTAAAAATAAAAAATTGAAAATTACGGCCTATGATATAATTTAACTGTTTGATCAAGGTGCTCATTTTAGCTTCTAAGTCTCGAGTTCGTCCCAACACTAACATTTGCCATAGAATGTCTGTCGGAGACTAATGTAATATGAGGAAGGTTCGTCTCTAACAGTTGACGCTATATAGTCGTAATCGCACGGAGCATTTTTTTGCAAGGTTTTCCGTAGTCAATTTTTCGCTGTTTTCCTTAGTCACCGCTTCAATTAAGAATGGCTTGAAATCTTTCATAGTGCGCAAGAATTAAGCAATTGATGACATTCAAGCTCCTAAGAGACACAATTATAGCTTTCGTTCGTGCCATTTAGAAAATTTTTTGAAAGGCTTTCAAGAATTTGAAAGAAAAATTTGGTTCATAAAGTTTTTTGAATTGCGTCATAATTTTGTCCATCAAGTTACTCAGTAATAGCATCCTACTTTCACGTGGGTTGTGTTATTTCCTGCAGGAATTCTTCAACCAATCAGACCTGGAGAAGCTAGAAGGTCTGCCGGTGTCGCCGTTCATGGACCGGGAGAAGGTGACGAAACCGACCTCGCAATGTTCCTTCATCGGCCTCGTGCTGCTGCCGCTCTTCGAGGCGCTGGGGGAAGTTCTTCCTGAACTCGAGGTGACTAAATAAAAAAATATAGATCTTCAAGATTAGTATGATGAAAATAGGTCAAGACGAGGTCACTTAAAAAAGAATGAAATAGATTTTCTAGATTAGGATGATGAATAGATCTTCACGATTAGTACCTAGCTACAAATAGTTTTTATTTATAACAAAAATTGCTAATTTACCATTTTATTATGCTCGTTTTTCGTCATTTATAATTCGTTTTTAAATATTTCTGTCCATGGAGTAGCGCGTTAAAAATTTGAGAATTATTTTATGTTTTACACGCACTTCTATTTTATCCTACCTGTTCATTTAAGAGTGCGGAGGGTTTAAAAAACAGATATTTTTTAAATCCGTAATTCACTGTGCACCCGTTCTCAAAATTCTGCACCAACAGGATCAAAAGCCACACATCCAGTCAAAACGAACTGGTTTATGAATTTTTATTGTTGTGTTTTCAGGATCTGATAATAAAGCCAGTTCGCTACGCGCTGGAACATTACAGGCGTCTAAAGGACATGAACAAGCGGCCATCCGAAGTGCGCATCGAGCACTTAACTCTTGCCTCCAATCCTGAAGAGGACGAAATTGACGGGAAAGATACAAATTTTTCCATTACAAGCGAGTCTCCAAAGTGTCTGTCAAATTCATCGATAAACGAAACCCGTCGTTCGTCTCTAGCTAATCAAGTAGTGGAAAAAATAAGGGAGGATTATATTGGAAGCATGCGTTCCTCAATCGAATCGTCGAGATCGTCTTTACTCCAGCGAAGTTTGGATGCGTCTAGTCCAATAGCTGAAGACGTTTCCGGCTCACTGGAAGGCCTGACAGAAACAGAGGTCGACGTTATGGAAAGAACGTCCAGGTTCAAAATATCCACTGAGGCTCCACTGGTCGCGTCACAGAAAAGCAGTTTTGAAAGACGGCCGAGTTGGGACGGACGCCAAAATGGTGACAGGAAGAGCAGTTGTGATAGTGTGGATGGCAGGGCACGTAGAAGTGAATGTAGAGTCGGGGCTGAGGGTAGAGGTAGAGACACTCTGGGTATAGTTGGGCGTTTATACAGCAAAGAAGTTAGTGATGAAAATTCCGATTATCGTGCAGTATCTCTTAAAAATGCAAGTGCCAGTGAATTACATAAGTTATCTGCTAAGCGTGCGAGGACGAATACAATAACGTACAGCTTTGATGAAGGAAATAATTACAAGTTTGACTGCAAAGATATTATACCACTTTCCTCCTCACTTTCCGAACAAGAGGACTCGATCATTGCTAGGTTCAAGAAGCTGACTGGAGCAGGAAGAAAATCCTGCGTGGAAATTTCTAGCGACGAAGAGTCTGTGAAAAATTCCCTCCACTCCAACAACGGAATTAAAATCAAAGTCAAGCGAACTAGAAGCAAATCGGTTGCCGATCAACCCAACACAAATAGAACTTATTCCCTTGCCAAAAGTAAAATCAACTTTAGGTCAACCAGACCTCCATCCAGCGTGACTAAAGTTGATGTAGCTAAATTGATCGGCACAGGAACCAAGTTGCAGCCTCTGGTGTCATTGGCGAGAACAGCTAGAAGAGCGTCTCATTGCTCCTCTATCGTATATCAAGCGGGTAGTTCACCGCCCTCCGAAAATTGTAGCGCAACTGGAAGCGTATCTATAAGACCCGAGAAATCACCCAAAGATCGTAAGAAGTTCAGTGTTTCTATGGATATGCTACCTTCTCGCAATGATACGAAATTCGATCGCACCGGGGAGGCTGGGGAGCTGAACCCATCGGCGTCTTCGGAGGACAATCTCATCAAGACCCAGTCTCAGCCAGCCAGTCTTTCTTCGTCGCCAAAAGTTCACAAGAAGAAAAGTGAGGCCTCGCGTAATTTAATATTTTCATTGCTGAAAAGAACTCCCGCTGCCAAAGAAGAGCCAGACGAGCCCCGCCAAAACACGTTATGATGCTTGTTTTCGTGCGTCTCGGCCAGGAGAGCAAGTAATCCCGAGATCACGTCGAGAACAGCTCGGAATCGAGGCTGCACTTTAATTTAGTCTTGCCTAAATGTCATCAATTGTTATTACGTATTATAGCTTTAAGAAAAACTTTGAACACTTTCTAAATGATCTAAGTTCAAATAAAAAAATATGAACTATTCATGTGCCATAGAAGGAGTGTCTTAAGCAAAGGAGAACGACGGAACGATTTCATAATTATCTATGGTCGGACATGTTGGTGCCAGATTAATATTATAATGATGCACAGACTTACTTTAAAAATAATGTGTGCTGCAGATCGGAAATATTGGTGTACAAGAGCGGTAGGCATCGGTAAGATATTGCGGGTTCTAGAATTTATTTTCGGCCTTGAGGTGGAGCATGACAGAACTGGGGTACACTAGAATAGTCATCAATGAATCTATTTTATTACTATAACGTTTCCTAGAAGCCTATTTTCTGAATGAATAATATTTTGTATTTAAAAATATATCTTCGTATCTATGCTATTCCAACATGCTCGTAGCTTTTTCTAGTAAGTGAACTTTGTGAATGTTGCAGGAGTTTGGAGGGCATGACAAAGCATAGATATTTTTACTGGCTATAGTGTGAAGAATTTTATACTACGTATTAAAACATTAATTTGAATCAATTCCGAATTAAATCTAAAGTAAGTTTGAAATATTAATCCAGAAATACACGTTAGTTTCTATAACTAATTTAATTAGTAATGGTGATTATACCGTGAATATCCGAAATATCAAAAGTAAAAATGCGACATGATGAACCACATGAACTTTTATAAATTGGTAAGATACAAAGTTTTTGTTATTTTAAAATTCGACAGCTCAGGTTAAAGCCATCAAAAGAATAACACGCGAGTCAAGCCTTGGGCCGGCTTGAGCGAAATCTTCGAAGTAAAATGATTAATAATTATTTAAGTGAATGTTTGGGTGTATAAATAGTGAGTTAAAAGCTTTATTCGTGTCAGTGTTCATTGTAAGAATTATTACTTTATGTACAGAAGCATCTAATCGTCTCTACTCTGGGTTCTCTTGCAAAGATATTACGAAGATACGCATTATTTGGATAATCTGTTACTCTTACACAGCAGTGAGCTAAGCTACTTGCATCACTATATTAAACTCTGTTCATTTAGTATTATGTTCTTAGTAATTAACATCGGTCAACATTTATAGAGCCACGAAACCTAATAATCATTAAAATGCCTATCGGATTAATGTCCATCGACTCATTTTCTTTACGTCAGAGAACAAGAGAGAGAGAAGTCGCTTCAGGCTAAACAATTTTGATCAATGTAACTGGTGAAAATAATTGAAGATCACGAGTTAATATAAGAAATTGATTCCCCTCGATATATATATCCAAACTACAAATTTTCACGCCTATCAATGAAGAAATGAAACAACTTTCTCCCAAAAAATTTCTAGGTTATTTTCAATTTTGACAGATTATTTTAAGTAAAGTATGCTGTACGCTTCTGCAGAGCCCTCATTAGTCAATATCTGCAACTAAATCATAACAAAATCGAACTAAATAAAAGTAGGTAAAACTAATCTTGATAAGCGTTTATTTTCCGCTCTCTGGCACTGGAAATAAAAATTATTCGTTATTTTATCGAGCTTTGTCACTCATGACCGAAGTTATTATGAATACCAGCTTCGCTCCTCAAAACCATACAAATAAAAGGCCCTTATCATTTAAATTGGGCTTACTACACATATATAGGCAGAATTATAAGGCCCATAGTTTGTTAATTAATATAACTGCATGAATTTAATTTTTTATCGATGTTCTAGCTGGTCTAGACTTCTTAAGAGTTTTAACAGCGGTGCTAGAATTATTGTTATGTATAGATATTCTGAAGATATTCCTGATATTCTGGATGTGTGTGAAATAAAGAAATATTTAAGATACATGTGATAATGTATTCCCTGACACATATCTTAATAATGTAAACTATTATATAAAGGAAACAGATCACAATAATTAACAAATTTAGTTTCTATCCAGTTATACAAATTTCATTCCCGTATATTCATTTTAATTACTTGAATTTATCTTAATGCTTGGTAGGCATATCTAAGTTTTATTTTAATTATGTGATTTATTGCTTGAATTTAAAAATAAAATTCTTATGGGGGTTCCCGATTAAAAACATTATATAATCGAATAAGTGATAATTAAATTTTCAGGGACCATTTTTGGCCACTTGATCAAATCTTAACCTAAAGATTATGATACAATGTATAAAACATTCATTAAAATACAATACATATATCATGAATCTATAGTGTGGACTTTTTTACTGGAAAGGGATGAGGATTTGAACATGAAGAATGAATTTGAATCGAATTAATGTTTTTTTATTCATATCATAATGAAATGTAGTGTGCATTCACAAATGCTGGTATTATTTGCTGAATGCATACTTATTTTTATCAGTTGAATGACGTGGTTAAAGCAAATGCAATAGTCAAGATGATTTAGAGACATACTGTTGGATTTTCCGAATTTGTAGTTAATAAATTTATAAATGAAAGTAAAAGTTCGTATATTTATTTTGCGATACACAGCTATGAAAATATTTTTCCATCAATTTGAAATTCAGACTGCCGAAGTAGTATGATTTGTGTCATTTAAATCGACGTGAGTATGAAAAAAATTTCCTTTTAAAATTATTATTAACCTGACTGCATTGACAAACTTAAATAAATATATTTTAAAAGACAAGTATTTAAAAGAGAAGTATTTAAATATTTTTTTTTTAAATTCAAGTATTAGTTTACTCCCCAATGAAAATATTTGACTAAAATTAAAGGCATATGATCACTTATGATCAACATCGGTAGGTTAAGGAATGTTTTTGGTGTGGTTTGAAAATGTCGCATTTCATGCGAAGATTGTGGCTATTTTAACGTGACCATGAGATGGAATTTGTGTCTCTGTGTGTTGAACGTTTGCTTTTTCCGAATTAGATTCACTTAAGTGTCTTTTGAATATACATGTTAAGTGTCAGCGAATGAAGCGCGTTAATAAACACACTACGATGAGAAGATTTATAATTCCGGTTGGCGACCTCGTTTCTAGGACTTGCTGGTACGCTACAGTCTTATTGTTAACATGGATAATTAATAGCCGGCAAATTTTACGTTGGTTCCATTTTCAAAGGTTATTATATATATATTCACTCTAATTGATTTTTATCGAAAGTTATGAGGGTCTACACATACATAAGTTCTATGTTTTAAATGGAGATAAGTAAAACAACGTCAGCAGGTTTTTTGCTTTGATTTATCAATTTATCGCTAAAATTGTCGTCAGATTTTATTAGACTAGGGAGTTTTTTGTTGGGATTTCTAAGTTTTTTATCGAGATGATATCATTTGAAATAGGAATTTGTAGGTGCTTAGTAGACGATACACAAGAAAACGATGCAGTTGGTGACTTATATTCAACGTACGAGCCCATATCTTTCATGACAATTTCATCCTCTTTCTTCAATTTTGAAAATTGAAATTTTCAAAAAATTAATTTCTTCACCCTCTTCCTTCAATTGAGGGCTGTGCTATAGTTCTCGAAACTCATTAGCAATTGCCAACATGTCAGGCAGGCATTCACTAGCTACATATAGCAAACATTTGTTTTCACGGAAGGCAATATATATATATATATTTTTTTTTTTTTCGCGTATGCATTACACGCTGTTCTCGAATTATGATGTTTTCTTGGGCAATTTTTCCGCGAACTAACAATTAAGGAAAGAATATTTCATGTGCTAAAAAATGTTCAAGGCGAATGAAAATGATCTGTTTTCTCAGGGTTTAATTTTACCAGGCATTTTATAAATGAATTCAAAGAGACAGTAATGGCTGAGGTTCGAAAGGAAAACTTTGCTTTGTCACGGAGTTTGGATTTGGAGTAAAGAAGATTTCAGTTGATAAACCAAAATATTATGCGATGTACAGATAAGAAATGATGATGGCGATGCCTAACTGCCAGTAATATTTTGATTATGATCTCCTATGACCTGTACAGATTAGTACCGAATAAAGTGTCAAAATGTCTCGAAAGTTTTTTTAGCCTCCCATACTTTCTTTTTTCAATTTTCATACGTTGATTTTAGTCTATTTGTATACGATCATTCATGTACTGAATTTACATTGTTAACTTAGAAATTATGAATGAAAAAATGAAACCTCGAAGGGCTTATTGAAACTAATTAAAATAATTATCATTAACAAACGCTATAATGAGAAATATATAAAATAACGTTATCGGATATTATATCTCTTCTTATAACTGTAATACTTTGATATCTAATAATAAAATTAAATATACGTATGCAACTCGAGAAGACATTTAATTATAATTGTCAGACATTAATTCAATGGGACGAACCTCTCTCCGAAATATTAATTAATTAGGAACATATCGTGGCACAGAAATATAAGTTGGCTTGCTTTATAGTAAAATTTTATTAAACTAAAAATTGATTGATTAAGGCATAATCCTGACTTTCTTTCTGAAATGAAACAATAGTCAATCATTTTGGCATATCACCCATGTTTGTAAATTTCTCGTAAAAAAACTGTACCAAAAATTCTATCTCGTAATGTAGATTTATTATTTTACTCTATATATCATTTTCAGGATCGTGTTCATATCCTGGAACCATAAAAGAATGAACTCTTGTTCGATTGCTCTTTGTGAAGATAGTGCAATTTACTCCATGAAAGGAATCGAGTTCGTTTCTTCCAGGAAGATTGTACGTATATTTAAATGGAACACTTCAGTTATATATAAACTATTCTAATCCGTATAATTAAATCTGCCTCTTGATATCTATTTGTAGCCAAATTACATTACCATTTGAAAGACCAATGTTTTGCATACACGCGTTCACTATAATTTTTAACATAGAACACGGCATATAGATTATATCGCGGAAGTACAAATGGCTTAAGACTGAAAAGCTTGTAAACAAGTTTAATCGAAAATATTTACCTATAAAGGACAGGAAAAGTGTCTACCATATGATTAAATTCATTGAAAAAACTTTGTCAGAATGCCATGTAAAACTTAAAGTGATCGTGTGTTATATATATCGCAAATATTTAGCTTATAACAATATAGCTCTCAACGCACACTACCGATTTCTGAAACCAGTTCATATAATAATTTCACAAGACTATTTTTCATAGATATTGAAAAATTTTCCACATCAGAAGAATTTCAGCTCAGTTAGCTTTAAATTGATCACTTCTGTTCCCCAGCCCACATCAAGGTAGGAAGCTTTTTTCTTTGAGATTTTGCTCCGAGAGTTGGTCTGATTTATGGCTCGTGGAGCCCCCAGGTACAGACGTCCATTTATCGTCGGTGTGGCGGGCCTCAATGTTGCGGTCCAGAGGCTCAATTCTGAGGCAGCTTATCGAACAGATATTCGCCCAGACCAGGCCCCACGCGCTCCAAGTTGCTGATGTACTGACTTAGGGTGAAGATCTTGTCAACCTGGCAACCAGAAAATAACATCGTTGGAGCTTGTAACAAATTTCACACTGAATAAATAAGCAGATTCTAAATCAAATTAGATTATTATGGTATGATGGAGACGTGGTCAACTCGTTGCAATAATTACGTGAATGAAAAAAACAGCTGTTTTTAATTTCGTTCGTAATGTGGTTCCTTTTCAACAATATTAAACATTTTTTATAGGCACAGTGTATAGACATGTTTATAAAAATTAATTTGAGAAGTTTCAATCATTAATCACTTGCCCTTATTTCTAAAAATTTTCATTTTAAATTTAGACAAACGAAGCTCTTCGTTCATTACTTGCGCAAGATCATTTTGATTTGCACAACTAAACGATAAGACATTCACGACGAGAAACTAAAAACAAGTTCCAAGTAAATTCTGTAACTTCACGCTTGGTTCTCACCGGTCACTTTTATACAAATGGAATTGTGCGTTTGCAGTGAAGGGTGTGAGGTGTTAACCTTTTAAATGGTAATAGAATATGACGGCTGATCCAACGATCATTGGTAACTGACTCAGTCATGACGTCAACTAAATTAATCACTCGACTTCCTCAGACGAAATAAATAATTTCAAAACATTGTGTGAGCGTTGCTAGCGGTGCTCGAAAACTGCACTGCGCTAAAAGCTTTCTAAGTATAGAAAGACATTGACAGCTCGACGGATGCAGTCAAGATTGCCCGGGTTCTCTAAAAAAAGGAGTGAAGCTTTTTCCAAATAGTGTCTTTTCCCAAGTAGCGCCATGTTCCAAATAACGCCTTTTTAGCTCATTTTCTAATTTATGGAAAAAATGCACTTTTGTGCTCGCCATGTCCGTCTGTCTGTCTGTCCGTCCGTCTGTCCGTGACCTCAAGTTTTCGTCGACGAGAAAATGCGCTCTCTGTCACTCACTGCAGTGAGTACTGAGTTATATTTTTTTCCTTTGTGCTCCCTTTGGAACCCTTTTGTCATCCCTTCGGAGCAGGAACGGCCATGTCCGCTACCTGCTCGTGCCGTAAGTAAGGAAGTGTGTCACTATTTGGACAATATGATCCTTAGATTTTTTGAGTGATAACAGAGTTTTGACTCACTTGCGGACCAAGGTATGTCGTCTGGATGAAGCTGAGGGCATGGAAATCATCGTGGTGCTTTGCTGCCTTATACACCTCCAACAAGGCCTGCAAGTACACGCGCGTCTCGTCAAAACTTTAATACTCAGGACTTTAATCTTGACTGATTGAACCGTCTTTATATTTTATGGTATAAAAAGTTAATTACCTTTTTCACTTTTATACATTTTAGTCTTCAAACTTTTTTTCATGAATTTAGCAGCTCGTTTAATTGCAAGAATTAGTTCCATCACTTCCATGACAATTTTATGTTTCCATCAACGTTGTTTCAAATCCTGTGTCAATTTACATGAATGTGTTGAGGATGAAATTTATGGCAATATGGCTGAGTGAGGTAAGTTTTGACTGTGCACTCAGAAAACGAATGGCTTATATTATTCAAATAGTGACACACATTATACGCGTAGAACTTACAAAGTATTTCAGCTGGCTAAATGAGTTGGAATGACCAATATGTTGGCAAAAAGTAAGTCATTATTTGGAAAAGTCTCACTTGATTTTCTGAGTGTGATACGGGATCATTATAGAGCCTAAAATATTGCCATTGTCGTATGTTCAATTGTCTGGTACGAATGGGTACTTTGTGGTTTGTCTGGTACGAATAGGTACTTGGTAGTGGGTACTTGGAAGTGAGTAATTGGTAGTGGGCACTTGTTAGAGGGTTCTTGGTATTGGATACTTGGTAGATAATTAGAAATGATTTTTCCGTAATTAATAGATACATGGCTGTGAGTATGATATTTTCACAACGACAAATTTGTACAAATGTCCAAAAAAATCTCACTTAAGTTTATTTTTAAAACTATAGACTGATATTTTCATCAAATTCAAAACAACTTGGCTTTTTCTTCACTTATTCTTCATTTTTCTTGTTCCTCTACTATTTTTCTCACCTGATTAACGCTTTTCTCCATCTCGAGGGCTTGGCTCATAGCTTCCAAGCCTGAGCCCCAGTCTGATAAGGCCGGGGCCGTGACGGGGCTGAGGTGGACGGTGCCGCCCCTTAAGTTCTGGTAAGTCATGAGCGACTCAGACTTCTCCCTCTGGTCCTTGGCGAGCTGGTGGAAGAACTTCGTGAAGCCGGGCAATGCCACGTCACAGCGACCGAAGTGCTGAGCCTGGTCACAAGAAAGTTCTAGAAATTAAAATCCTAAATTGTGTGATTAATAACATAAAATCCGTAAGTAATACCTTATATAAAATAACCAATAATAAAAACATATTATTCTAAATAGTAGCATCATTTATTTGATTGTTTCATTACATTGAGACTGACAGCTATAAGTGGCGCAGAACTCTCATAGTTTTGTCTCATAGGGTCGTGGATGGTTAAATTAATACTCGTGGTAGAGCCTCGTCATCGCAACGTCTGTTCTGTGCACAATACACACGCATACAAATTAAAGCGAGTGTTGCTGACGAGCCTGTCTCGTAAGATCTTCATGTTGGCCACAAATTACTTTGATCGCGACAGCCTGACCAATGCAGAATAACACCAACGTTCTGTGTACGTCACTGAGCTTATATGTTATGCAATTTAACTGCAAACAAGCGGCAACGTAGTCACATGAAGAGAATTATAAGGTTAAGGTATGATGTTCGTATCTTTAATATAAAATTTTAAGGCTCACATCGCTTTTGAAAGAAATCGGTGTGCACTGCTTGGTTAGAAGTTCAATGTTCGATTATTTCTGCAAATATCGGGGAAGGGATAATAACATTTAAACTTAATATAATTTTTTAGAATTCTCTCAGTTTGACTCGTTGTGAAAAAAAACAAAATTAGAAATAAGAAGACCATTTCACAGAAAAAGGTGCAATGTTGTGACCGACTTCAAGATCTTCTTGCAGCCGCGACTCTCTCCGCTCCACATGACGTAATGGAATACAGGGACTCGTCGTCATAAAAAAAGCCATGAAATTGTTAGGCGCGTAAATAGCCTCGAGTTGTGATGTTTTCTGTCTGTAGGACGCTTGCTGGGGCTCCTTACCTGAACCTGAGCTGGCCTGCAGCCTCGATGAATTATTCAAATGCATCTTGCAGCGGCAAGTCATAACAACTGTGCTGAAGTTCATCAATAAAAACTCATCCTGAAGCTGAAAGTTTTAAGACCAGCACCAAAGTCCATCAAAAAGTTAACGAATGAAATCATTGCCTGAAAATGTACGAGATTGCTTGCATAATGATTTTATATAATTTTAAATTCAGCATTGAAAAAGTCTACGTAATTTCAATCATTTAATTAAACTTGACGAAAAATCACTGACAAAAATGGTTTATTCACTTCATATTCATATAGGATTGTAGTTTTATTATCTGCAAAAATCACCACCCATCAACCAATACGTGCACCAATTTCACGCATAAGCGTGATTTTAACAAGACCTTTCAGCCTTTAGTTCCGCGAGAAACATTATGATGCTCGAGACCGTTTTGTGATCGTAGAAATATAACGCTTTGCCGCGTAGTGTATTAAGCAAGTCTGAAATTTACGTTTTAATAATCTTGGCGCTGAGCGGACAACCGGCAAGCGAGTCTCGACACGTTAAAGCTCCTCACGAGTCAACAAGGCGCGTATGACTGCAGTAAATAAATTTAAGGCTCACTAGGTTTGACGAGGTAGTAACCTGTCGCCTCACAAGCACAGCCGCCCTTCTTGGGAATACTTTGTTCCATTTTTAGCGCATTTTCTCATTTATGGAAAAAAATGCACTATTGTGCTCGCCATGTCCGTCCGTCCGTCTGTCTGTTTTTCCGCCTATCCGTCCGTCTGTCCGTGACCTCAAGTTTTCGTCGACGAGAAAATGCGCTCTCTGTCACTCACTGCAGTGAGTACTGAGTTATATTTTTGTACACAATCTCTGGTAACGTGTTGCAATCCGGCAAATATTTGTGTTGAAGTTATTAGAAAATTACAAGCTATTTAATTCGGTTGTACTTCTTTTGAATCCAGCGGTCGTACTTGGCAATGTCTATGCCTCAAATGTAAATAACTACTATTTTTAAAAGATTGACGAATCTTAAAAAAATCGAAATTTAGTAATTGTCTCCATGCGAATGTAGGCAAAGGAAAGATTAAATAATGAAATATTTCTATATTAGAAAGAAAGTTAATGCTAGATTCACAATCATTGCAAAATATTTAAGACTAATATTTCTGAAGTGACGATGTTCTCATTTTTAGTGCAATTTTTATTTGTAATACCTACTGTACACACAGTTTAAAATTAATAAATATTAAATATTATAATTTCAAAAATTGTTTTAGAATGGATATAGTATTATTCACCGTTATTTATGAGATGATCAATGGTCATCGTGATTACTGATAGTTTACGGATCTTTATATATGAAAATGTGTTAGGGTTATTTTATGTCCCACTCGTGACTATATTAAAAAAATGGCATGCGTCCGCGCGCTGCACTCGCCATGCTACTAAACCAGGCTGCTACAAGCATGACCGGCGAGCATGAGAATAGGTACAAACGTACAATACGTCAGCATGCACGCAGCACTCACCATGCTGCTGTAGACATGACCGGCGTGCATGACAATAGTCAATAGGTACAATACGTCAGCATGCACGCCGCACTCACCATGTTGCTGTAGACATAACCGGCATGCATGACAATAGGTACAACGTCAGCATGCACGCAGCACTCACCATGCTGCTGTAGACATAACCGGCGTGCATGAAGAGATTGATTTGCCGGTTGATGGCTTGCTCAGTGCGCTCATGGTAGTTGTGGCGGCAGCGCGATATAGGCATGATGGTATTGGAGTGGCCGTTGTGGCCATTGCCGTGACCATTGTGGCCGTTTGAGTGGCCTTTGTTTCCGTTAAGGTGGCCGTTATGCCCATTCGAAGAACGGCCACCGTGACTGTGTTCATGGCCAATAAACGTAGTTGGGTCTTCTAGGCGTCGAGTTCTGAAATTGATTAATTATAATCATAAGTATTCTGAATTCCTGGAAATTCAATGATTTTTGTGAGAAAACTTACCTTCAGAGTCGTCACGCCTAAAGAAAAATTGCGTAAAGAATACCAAGAACGTAGAGTTATATGCAAGGTACGGTAGCAACCATAAGAAAAAATTTATAACAGACAAACGCGTGAAATTTCCATGAAAATAATATAGTGAACTGTAATTCAATTCCAGTCAGTGAAATTTGTGACTGAAAGACTTCCTATTATGGATTTTAATATTTTAAATGTTTTTCCGTCTATTATGCAAAATCGAGTTTCTAAAGTTCAGTTTTTTTCTGATGAGGCGGTGCTATATAAGTGCAACTGGGCGTTTAATTGAACACGTTCTAATTAACATATGAACATTAAAAACGTTTCCTAATAATTACTTCAAAAGGGTTGCCAGCTGAGTCATTTAATAGAGCGACCGAAATGTCCACATATTCGCAAGCTAGCTGACAAGACTCGTCGTAAATACACGAGCTGCTAAGACAGACCATAAGCTCAATGTGAAGCTTTTACAACAACAACATCTGCGAAAAAATGAGACTGTGGTTGGCCTCCCTTTATATGTGATGCACAAAAAATAGAACAAAGTAGGATTAGCTTTAGATTTGGTCGAGTCTTATGCAGTTCAGCCGTGTATTATCGCTGACTCAATGAGACGCCAGAGATAATTGGAGTTTTAATTCGGTGTTTGTTTATGAATGACATAGCCACAGCTTTCACGAGTCTCGTATGACACTTTCACATTAGGATTCGTTCGTCTAATCGCTCAGTCATTGGATAATGCGTTTATCTTATATAAGTGTCATTGATAAGCCAAACCGGTTAATCCTTAGCAACACTGACTGCTTTATATCGTACTGTGAACCTTTCGTTGTTATAATTATTTATTCAGTTTGCGTATGAGACCAATGGTAATTATTTTGCAACACCCGTTGGCCGGTGCTGGTCGTCTTGTTAGCGGACTGTTAGTCCCTATATGGTTCAATCCGTCATCCGATTATTATACATGTTACCGTATTACCGTTTAGATCTGCGTTGATAGTTTAAAAATAGTTTAAAAACCAACTCGAGCTGTGTTACAAACGTAATATCTCTATTTTACGATAGATATGAATAATTTGTACTCGTTTGCTTACCAAACTTTAATATTGAGGAAAAAATAGATATTCGACATCGCAAATATAGCAAACATCGTCGTAAGTTATGATATTTTGCCATCTGTAGGGAACGGCAGATCAAATTTACGATAAGAGGTTTCGAGCTTAATTGTGCTTTATCGTTGCTTGTGCGACCAACGCTGGCTAATCAATTGCTTTGATCTCTAGCGTCTTCTTTGTTGGGCCATTAGATCAGATCTGCTGATTGCAGTCAAACTCAAGATAATAACTCGATTGTTAAGATCAGTTCCAATCAATGGGAAATTTGGTTCGACTTCATTTTAATCAGTTTTGATAACCAAAGATCGAATGGGCACAGCTGTGGAGATCGGAAACACCAATAAATGTCAAATAAAAGTCTCTCTTGTTCGGCAAATTTCTACTGATTATGTTTTCATAATAGTAAATCGGAAAAGTTGACGTATTTATGTTTGTTTTTAATCACCTGAACAGAATCGCACCGTTCAAATTTGAACGCACTAATTAGTGATGATACTAATTTGGCGTTTGCTTCTTAGAATCGATAAGATTTCTGTCTCACGTAAATTTCCTGTAGCCTCAAATTCATGATAAAATCTTACGTGAGATACGCTCCATGCAGCCATGTGCTGCTCGCTAATGCATGGCTTTGGGATTTGATAACAAAATAAGCAAAAGTTACTTTCTAAGGTAGGTATTATTGCAGATTAACTACATCCAAAAAAAAGGGTGTTTTTTTTTTAATTATATGTTTTTTGGGGTGTAGATTACGAATCTGAAATCCATTTTTGGCGGTCGGCATCGGAAAACCGATTTTTTTCCGACCCAAAAATCGCGCTAAAAATGCCTAAAATCTGCGAAATCGGCGAAAAATCGGACGAAAATGTTACCCGTTGCAGTGCAACGGGTAACATTTTCGTCTTCTTTGTCCATAAATCTGGAGATACATTGCCACATCGAGAGATCACAACCTAACGCCAACTCGCAGGTTGGGTTGGTTCGCCCAGGTTCCTTTTAGATCAAAATGCTATCTAAAAAAAGGAACTTGGCTGACTTAACCCAACCTAAGAGCTTTTTGTAAAATTTCGATGAACAATCCGACCCTTTATATAAAGGTGAGTGGGTAACGTAAGTTACGTAACCCCCATGTTAGTAAATAAAGGTGAGTGGGTAACGTAAGTTACGTAACCCCCATGTTAGTAAGTCGCGAAAAAAATCGGTTTTCCGATGCCGACCGCCAAAAATGGATGACAGATTCGTAATCTACACCCCAAAAAACATATAATTAAAAAAAAACACCCTTTTTTTTGGATGTAGTTAATCTGCAATAATACTAAGGTAAAATTTGCTACAATAATTCATTTTTTCAGGTAGTGAGTGATAATAATTTTTTTTTATTTTGAAATTGTCTAATGTGTAATGTTTAACCCAGTGGTTAAAGTTCAGAGTACCAAGATTAGCGCAGAGAGGCGCGGGTTCGATCCCAGCTCTGTGCGCCAGATTCTGGTCAGAATCGGCGAGGAGGCCGGGCGGTTAAGCACAGCAGAATTGTAGCAGTGAGTTGCGAGTTCGAGACCGCAAAATGCCGTAAATGTTCTGCGATGTTAAGAATCGGCGACAGGCCTACGGCCTAATAAACACTGATACCGCTGTTATTTATTATTATTTAAGTTTCAAATTAAAGAAATTAATTAAAAAATATAACTCAGTACTCACTGCAGTAAGTGACAGAGAGCGCATTTTCTCGTCGACGAAAACTTGAGGTCACGGACGGACGGACAGACAGACAGACAGACGGACATGGCGAGCACAATAGTGCATTTTTTCCATAAGTGAGAAAATGCGCTAAAAACAGTTCGACAAATGATTATTTATTGTTATTACTTCTGGGAAATTTTTGGAGACGAGCACAACCTATACGAAATTGGCGATATTGAACAGATGGAAATGTTCCCGGCTCTTTACAGTATTTATGGGGACCTGTAACCCAAACCCTTCATCTTATACCGTCTCGCATGGAGTTTCGCGCACCGAATTCTTGGCATTCGAATTCATTGCATACGGCCACACATTCCGGTAACTCAACATAATATGTTTACAGGAAGTGGCAGGCGGGTTATTGAAGATTCCATCTGAGACAAGCACAGAGCAATTCATCTTGCATTTACTGGACCGGAATTCTGGATGAAGATGATGGTTGATGGCTGAATCACCCATGAGCAAACGCCTGATCTGAGGCCGCAATGCACATCGCTTGCGACAATTGGTCGTCAAAGATAGCGCGAGTAAACGTAATTTGTCTGCCAAACTAAAATAAGAGAAAATTTAAATAAAATGAATCAGATACGTAAAAGATTGTAGCAGTGGCATATCTTAATAAATTTCTCAAAAGTAAAGTTTAAAGTTTCTCCCACATGATGTGGGAGAACGAACTTTCTTTTTCGTAACTTCCATGCATTAATGATTTCCAAGTTCGACTATGCATAAAATATATTTGTAGATGCCATGTTTCACATGAATAATATATACATTTTGTGGGAAAAATTTTTTGATTTGCTGTATTTCTATATTTAGAATGTTTAATACATAACTATTATACCATACCATACCATATTGGTTTCGCTCAACGGATTTTTTTTGCAGTTACATTGACATGAGGGTTTGGGAACTGAACTGAACTGAGTATTAACTGAAGCTTGATTCGTTTTCTTGACTGCCTTTTCGTAATTAAATTTGTAAATCTAGAAAATTACAAACATTCAGACGATAAGGCACAATTATAAAATCTCAATGTATTTTTCATCATATTACTTTCGTGGTAGTCCATCTTCCTTTTGCGGGTATTTGAAAAGACTTGATATAACAGTCACAGCACACTGTCAACTCAGCGCCTTTTTCTCGATCAATGCCTTACAAGCTACCTGTAAAAAGATCAGTTCGCAATCTTTTCCTGAGGACCCAACGCCATCATTGATCACACTACCACACAGATTGTTATAACCCCATTCAAGTTCCGTCTGAAAATGACCAATGCGCCGAACGTCATATATATAGATTTCCATGAAATTTGAGTCGTAACTTATTTCACCATCAATAATAAAGAAGAATGGGAATCGGATTTGCGGCATTTTCTAGTATTGACTGAAGTCCCTTATTGCATGCACCTCTCAATGAACAATCAATTATGTCACTTTAATATTCTCACCGATTTTCGAAAAGCACCTACATCAAGGCCTCATCGTAACATAATTAAGGTTTTTACGTCTGTTCCCACATAGTGCAATAAAATTCAACCAATTAATTATTTGCCTATAAAAATATTTGCCATATCCTGCACGATTTAGTGCAGTTCAAGGATAACAGAAATAGCAAACTTGTAATAATGTGAATAGTCTGTTGAGTAGTTTTGCGTTGAAATTGTAGCGGATGAACGATCGATTTAAGAAAAATAAATCTACTCAAACATGCAATAAATGTACGAATTTATCATTGTTTTCTCAATAAAAAGTATATTGCATTTTCTTTCGTCCTGTGTTTCTATTAAATAGTGATTTGAGTGAAGTCCGTGAAAATATAATTTATTTATTGCTATTTCGAATAAGAATAGTTTATAGATAGTGATTAAATTTAATTCCGAATAAATTAAATTTTACAAGCTGCAATTATCAAATAGATAATTAATAAAAGGTTTCTAGCCATGAGCTCTTGAACCAATTGCAGTGAAAGGCTTTACGTTGATTTGAAATAGAATATTTCACAGATTTGATGCCTGTCTTGCAAGTGTTTCGTCACGGTTTTCAGGACGCTGTAACGTTGAGCAAATTATTATTCTATCGTTACTCGCCGGTTTTCCACATGTTTTATTACAACTTTTTTCACTGAGAGATGAGATGGGCGCCATGATATTTTTGATTTTCTAGATTTGTGATCTAGAAAATCAAAACTAAACTTCTCGGTTACAATTGGATAGTGAATTTCAAACAACACGTAGAAAAACGGCTTTAGATTGCTGGCACTAATTATGAACTTGTTCAATGAAGTAAATGCGTGCTCTCGCTTTGACTTGAAATGTTAACAACGCAACCCAAAATAAATAAGCAACATTCGAGCTCGTTAACGAACGCTCATCAATCGCCTGCTTCCCTTATCTATCGAAAAGGCAGAACTCTTATTAGGCTCTCACTGAGTGATGTGATGCAGGTCGTGCTCCTCTGGGAGTCTCCACCTCAAAGATGCAGCAAAAACATCAGTTCTGCAAATGGTGACTGCATAAAAGATGGCCTGCGAGGTGATATATACACGAGGCGGGTGAAGATCAACTGTTGCGGTCTCTATGGTTTCTCTTTAACATGGCTGCATCGACTTGTTTTGATCTCTTAAATACACGGACATTTAAACATAATTGTTTTGTTAACAAACTTTGGAACTTTCTGATAGAAAATTTGAGTATAATTTCAGGAAAATTTTCCATGCTTGGAAAGTAATATTGCATAATTTGTATTGATTGAAAAATATTAATTGTTATCAAAATATCATATGATAATCAATTTTGATATTCTTCAAAAAAGTCATTTCATAATATTTTTATTTCATTTCTGCAGGCTTCAAATCAATCAAGCAGTCAATAATATCCTTCTTGAATCAATATTTTTTGCAGACATCTTATTCACATCATCAGCTTGTTTCTCTAAGTCACCACTACGCACTTTCCTCAAAGCAATAAGAATTGAAACCAAACGTACGGCTCTGCGCAATCAATATAAATATCATGTGCACAGAGGGCTCAGGCAGAGCGTCCTGCTTCGAATAAACAAACGAGAAAATATATTTCTATTATTTTCCTCCAATATTAATGTCGGATGCCAATTAATTAATTACGCTGCTAATCACTCGCATAAATTCTATCGAGTTAAAAACATAACATATATAATGTCAATGACTTCCTAGAAACCTGGTCGACTTAGTCCCGTATCCTGGTTATTAAAGGAGCAGTTGAATATAATTGTGTGCAGTCATAAGCTGTAAAGTTTATTCCTTCTTGTAACCAGACCTGTCGAGGGAACTAATTCGCTGCGTCTCGTCACTCATATTCCTACGCGGCTAGTTCGGCCTAGATGAAGACTAGATGATCTTTGGACTTTTATGGTCATGGGTTGTAATAGAGAACTATTTACGTTCCTTGTTTGTAACAAATAACCTTATTATGGTCATAAATGATAATATATTTAATTTAGGAACTGAAGATCAAACGATTGCCGGAGCGGAGAGACTTTGATTTAAATAAACGTTTTTTTTCAAAGATAATTTATTGATATTGCGAACAAAATATACATTATTACAACAATGCACTTATGGATATAACTTTTTTCAGCTCTGCTCCGCCCTGCAAAGATCATCTGAGATCGAGCAGATTTTTTAAACGGCGCACTTTCTTACGAAACTTAATAACCCGGAGAACTGCGTTTTATTTTGCTGCTTAAATTACTCTGTATGACCTGCACTAGTGTTCAGTATTGCATAAAGTTTTAGGCTTTATTGTATACACAAATAAGTTATTTGGCTGGGTGTATTCATTATCTTTGGATAATCCGGCAATTATGTTTCGACATTGATGAGCAGAAATTAATTGGAAACTAAATTTTCGACTAAAAAAAGTTTTCCGCTCGACAACGTTAGACGGTTAATTAGGAAAGTGCCTACCCTGCAACAGAAAGCAGCCGAAAAATAACTTTAGTTTAAATTGGCTTAAAATCGATATATCAATCGAATATACATTGTAAAGTTTTCTTCCGTGTACATGTTATATACAGTCAATGTTATTGCTTCTCTCGACGCACAATTTCAAGTTCCGGCTTTGGCATTTTCAACCTGAAAACATTTTTATGGGTATTTTGTGTTATACTCGGGGCTTTCAGTTTCATTTCTAATTTAGCTTCAGGTTCCAAAACTACATAGCTAACTCAGCTACAAATACTTTGTTTTCTACTCGGTTTTGGTCTCAGTTTTGACCGTGTGCAACTGTGCATGTATGCTGTAACTCAAAATACTCTGCTGTAACTACACATACTCTGTCTGTTATTCAGTTTTAAGTTTCAGTTTTAACCTGGCGTTGCTGTAATTCATCTACAAATGCTCTGTTTTATTCAGTTTTAAGTTTCAGTTTTAAAAGGGTGTTGCTGTAACTCAGATACAAATACTCTGTGTTTTACTTAGTATCATGTTTCAGTTTTAAACGGGTATTGTTGTAACTCAGATATAAATACTCTGTGTTTAACTCAGTTTTATGTTTCAGTTTTAAACGGATGTTGCTGTAACTCAGATAAAAATATTCTGTATTTTATTCAGTTGTAAGTTTCAGTTTTAAAAGGGTGTTACTGTAACTCAGATACAAAGATTCTGTGTTTTACTCAGTTTTATGTTTCAGTTTTAAAAGTGTGTTGCTGTAACTCAGATACAAATACTCTGTGTTTTACTCAGTTTTATGTTTCAGTTTTAAAAGGGTGTTGCTGTAACTCAGATATAAATACTCAGTATGAGCACATGTCAGGCCAGACATTCGTATTAAGTTTGTTCTACAGAGGGGTTAATAAATCTTAGAGTCGTGCCTGCCTCAAGACAGTTCTTCTGAGCAGTCGTCAACAAGGACGTCGCACATGATATCTGAAGCGAATTTCCGTGGAAATATTGCGTGTGTTAATAATATACTGCCGGTGACCCATGCGAGTAAGCTTTGATAGTGGTGAGCAATGAATAATAAACTCTATATTAATGCATCGAAGTACTAGAGCTGTTAGTTTAAGGTATTGAATCATTCCCTGTAGATTCATATATATTATTAAAACAGTCTGAAGTCGTAAAATTTTCATATGTATTATTAAAACAGTCTGAAGTCGTAAAATTTTTTGAGAAAGTTGAACTGTGAGGGGAAAACGATTCAAGATAATCTTGAAGATAAAGAGCAGTGCTAAAAATCTCCACTTCATCGTACAGATAACCCATTATAATAACTTGTCTACAAATTTAATTAAGTAATTTGGTCACGGTATATAGATTTGAAATCTTGATCACTAATGAACATTTTCTAAATGGGCTATTCTTTAAAATTGAAATCCGACATAATTGTCAGCGTTCGTTCAAGGGAACAACAGCTTATGCTTGGCTTTCATTACTTTTTAAAATCTCAGATGCCTCTTCAGCGTTTGTTGCAAGCGTTCAATTATAGAAAGCGAGCTACAAATACGAGCTCATAAACCTAGTTCCTGAGGTATATACGCGCTTTTTATACGATACTTTGATCTTCTTCAGCTTCTTGTTCATGGCAGGGACAATATTCTTGTACATTATATGCCGTGACCGAGCACTTGAAGATCAGTGCTCTCGTATTTAAGATTATCTGGCAAGCTCGCTGCAGCGTTGGTCGATTTTAAAAAGCTTTCGTAGTGATGCAAATATATTTATTACTCCTGACTAGAAAGCAACATGATATTTGCGAGTGTTCACTTCGGAATTTGGTTTTCATCTTGATTGTTTTGAAATATTCTATAAAACAGGAAGTAAATCTCATGGATTGGACCTATGAATTTATTGTATTAAACTATAAAATTTGCCTGGATTTATATAAATGAAACAACTTGAATACGAAATTTCCGAAAAAAAATTACCCATGAATATTTTATTTTTCCCAGCAACTGCATGCAAATGATTCTTTTCGGAACATAATGCCTGATCAAAAATAAATTTGAGGGGGAAAAACCTTTGCTCCTGTAGTGCAGTGAGAGCATCAGTCTCGTGATCACACCCGATCAGTTACACAAGAATTGAACATTATGCATGTGATGACAAGCGACAAGTGCAACGCATGTTTCTGAACTCTTTCGCTTGTGAAGCCAATTGCAATGAGGTGCCCCGGCTGACTGATCACCGCAAAAACTCTTCAACTCGGCTCATCTAGTTACATGTCCGCTTCACTGTTTGCTTTATTAAATGGAATTATTTATTTCTTGAAAAGACCCCTCTCTTCTATGATCTACTTTCATAAATGTAGTTTAGGTTTTGCACATAATTTAAATCCGTCTCCATTTTTTAGCGTTGTTTTGAACTTAAAACAGACGATATCATTCAAGTTTTTTCTTCTTCTGTTATGTTTTATATTTTTATTTGATGGATGTGAATTTCATTGACTATAACCGCCTCTTTGCCTCAAATGGTAATAAGCGCTGAATTATTACCATCACAAATTGATTGATCAGTCAGCTTTGTCAGAGCCAAATGTTACATTGGAGTTCAGTAACCTCGACACAGAGACCAGAGTACAATCGAGGGACATTGCACATTTTATGTTCATCGTATAATAAGCTGCCATGTGTCATTCAAAATGAACGGCTCCATTGAGAGTTGATTCTCTTCTGTGTGACAGGAACAAGGCTAGCCTCGTATATGTTCGAAGAAATGGGTGTATGAATGAATTATTGTAAGTTACTTACTCTTGAGCTTTGCCTCCACACGAAATTATGGCTGCCAAAATCAGTACAGTTACTGGAAGAAAACTTTTGATCGAAGCCATCGCGAACGGCACAGACAAATTCAAGGATCAAGTTCGGTTCGATCAAATTTCGAGTTGATCTTTACACGATGCGATAAATTCTTCTTTCCTTAAATTGTATATTCCGAAAAGAGAAATTGCTGTATAAAAATAAAATAACTAAAGTATATTGTTCAACACTTACAAAAATGTTCTCTCACGTAAACAATCATGAAAAATTTGTGAGGAGTCTATTCGTTCCCCAACTCTTGTAAATAAAGTTCAGTTACAATGAAATATTTAGAAACAATTTGATCAGATGCGCAGTGAGGAATTCACGAGAGACGTCGACGCAAAGCTGCTCAGACTGCCTCCTCAGTCGCACTCATCGCGTCTCGCTCGGTTGCCCGCCGCTTTATAGAAGCGGCCTGCGAGAGGGCACTAGAGGCGGCCAGCGGCCACATGCGGCCATCCACGACATTCAGGGCCAAAAATGGCACCATCATTAGTACTGTTTCAAGTGAATGTGAATTGTAAAATTATTAAAACCAATAAAGTTTTGGAGCATGTATTAATTAATTATCTGTCATTTGTTCTACAGAGGGGCTAATAAATCTTCGAGTCGTGCCTGCCTCAAGACAGTTCTTCTGAGCAGTCGTCAACAAGGACGTCGCACATAATATCTGAAGCGAATTTCCGTGGAAATATTGCGTGTGTTAATGCGGGTGACCAGTCTGAAGTCGTAAAATTTTGTTCTACAGATGGGCTAATAAATCTAGTTATCTGTCCGATGAAGAGGAGACTTTTAGCATTGCTCTATAGCTTCAAGATTATCTCGAATCGTTTTCCCCTCACAGTTCAACTTTCTTCTTCTCCTTCAACGCCTTCAAAAACAGACTAGACGAAGCTATGCAGGAGCATATGTTCAGTCTTAAAATGCCTAGCAAATTACGGATCAGGCAATAAGTCCAGCAGCTATCTCAATCAATCGTCAGCTATGGAAAGATCGGGTTCCAAAGGCCGGATCCCTTGTGAATCAAGTCACGAAAAGTTCAAGAATCGGCAACAGGCCATGGGCCTATTTCTTCAGTGCCGACACTTCTATTCCATTCTATTCTATTACCTAACGGTACATAATTAGCCAAGTATCACTATATTAACAAACGAGTTTAAGTTGAACCACGGCCTCTTGCTTTGACATTTTTACTCAACTTCGAATTTTTCCAGTTATATGAAAACATGCGATTTATAATGCATTTATAATATAAATACCTGGCTTCGTAAAAAACATTGAGTATGATATAATAACTATTGTTTGATTAAAACCATCATCCCTGATCGCAGTTGGTAAGAAAGAGAGTATTATGGCAGCTTTATCAAGAACGTACCGTTCTTCAACACATATAATTAATTGGGCTCCAATAAGCGCTTTAAACAAAATAGCGATTAGAAAGAGAGAGAGTGAGACGATTAAACGTATGTTGCAATTAACAAGCTGCCAGACGCCGCACGGTGCTAAACTGGAGTCATACATGCACTGATGTCTGTTACATGGCGGATATCTTGGTAATTAGCTGGCACCGAATACTGAAGACGATAAGAGCTTGTTAGTGGTGTTGAAGCACTTCAGAGCAGGGCTGGGTGGCCACAGTTGTCTCATTAACTGATGTTTCTACTGAACGCAACCCCTTTGCTAATGTTCACAACAAGTCTTGCTTGTTTAGCGAATTGTTCGACACATAAATAAGTGATAAGTTGATTTATTTTGTGATATTAACAGGGGTTTAATGCAATATGAGATAATGTTAGGGCACTGCCATATGTTCTACATTAAAAAAGAAAACAATTCTGCTAGAATATAATGAAAGGGATAAGATTCGTCGAGTTTGATGGTTCTGAGATTAGGGCTCTTTGTGTCGATGATTGCGATTTGGAAAATGTAAATGGAACAAAAAATTGCAAATAGATCGAAATAAGAACTGTATTTTTCAGTATTATAATCGGTAGAATAAACCAAGCACAATAGATGAATTTAACATTCATAGTGAATCTCACTAATGAATCTCAGTGGGATGTTTATTTTTTCTCTTCTCGACAAATTTTTCATGGATAATCAAGACGGGCTAGGACCGTATTAATTTCAAGGCAAAATGAAGAGTCTCGGCTATTCATTACTGCTTCATGCCAGTCCGGGTACAGAGCAGCTACGTTCAGATATCTCCATTGCCTTAATTGATTATGAATCATGCACGGTCGCGATGCAAATGCATTCAAATATAAGACTTTTTTCTATTTGCCTGCGTATGCAATCAATTTTGTATTTGTTAATTTTTAACGATATCTATGGTCTCCGTTAAAGCGAAAGAAACCGAAGGGAAAGTTTATAAATTTCTCAATTTCAACCAACCAATTTTTTATCTAGGGAAACTGCTCATTGAAAAAAAAAATCAAATTTGTATATTGTCTTAGTGATGCTCAGCGTCAATATGTAATATTTATAATTTATATTTCAATATCAGTAAGCATTTTGTTGGTTCACGACATTACAATGTTTCCAGAAAAAAATTAAACCGATCAATGCGTTTTTACAGAATAATTTTTGACAGAAAAAAACGAGAAAATAGTAAAATAAAAGGGTGAATCCATTTACATGTAATGCTGTGGAATTTCCCGCGACTTCTACGTCGCTGCAGCCCGTCCTTCAAGATGATGAGCAAGTGAAACACCAATAGCAATAAATATTTAATCCCAGCAACAAAATAATATAATTTTAGCAAAATATGTGACCTTTTTTCGCACCTTATATTTGCAATAGGTGCGAGATTATTTTTCGAAATAAGCAGCAAGTTGAATTGGCACATACTGTTTTTCTTCTACAATTTAATTTGATTTAATTTGAGAAGAAATACATTTTTAAAATCAGCTTTACGGGAGTTTTGCTAGCATTATCATAGGGAAGTTACAATCTCGCGGTTTTTCTTTACGTCACTGTGAAAAGTTCATTGTATAATAAGTTAATGAAAACTAATGCCCTTGATGTGGGTGACTACGCTTTTGCGACGGATATCTTAACATATGAATCATGCGTAAACGAAACAATGTTTCCTAATCCAATGGACTGTGAACACTCAGATTTAACTTCTTTTCTTTTTATCGTTTGTGTATTTCAGCTGCTTTTTACTAATGAGCGTTCCCGCGCTATTGAAAAGCATGTTATAAAATACGAAGATGGCGGCCACACAAATGCCCGTCAACATGGAGATGTACTCGGCGCGGTTAGCGAAGTGCGTGCCACAGATTGTGTACCACGACGAGCTGGCTGGCGGGGGCGAACCTCCAGGCGCGCAGTGAAAATCGAAGTAAGGTTCATCGTAGTCGCTGGCGCACAGATACGTGCGTTTCTTCAGCACCTGCGAGAAATTGAACGTTAGGCGAGGAATATGAAGGATAAATGAATGAATAAGGTTGATTTTTCGATAAATTTGTGTTTTCGATTTATTTCATCACTCCAATGTCAAGCTGATATCAAAAGAAGCATAAAGACGTGACCTTCATTACTTTAAAAAAATTCCAACAGTTGAAAATGACGTAATACTGAAAAATGTAGCCAAGTCACCTCAAATAATTATTTGAAAAATTGTTGTTACATTAGCGGATTAACCGACCGCTCCAAAGGCCGTATTGACGTCGGAAGTTTTGTCGCAGGCGCCGACGGTCTCGTGAAGTCCAATGGAGACCTCGTTCTCCGGCGACGCTGCGATAGTCAGGCCGAGGTACAGGGAGTAGTGCAGCACCAGCCCCACCACCAGCAGGTACACGGACCAGTGCGAGGACTCGCCTACAAGTGCGGCAACTTCAGCACTCGCGGTCGCGCAGTTCAAATTGCCAAGTATTATAGACGTTTCACTTTCCACGAAATGCGCTTATAAATTTGAATATCTTTTGATAACAACTGAAATCAATTAAAAATATGCTAAAACACGTCAAAAACATGTCTAAAGCTAGTAAATTTCTTTCATACCGGTATGTAATCCGGTGTTTGAAAAACTCATTCTGCAAATAACCTTTTTACTATTTTAATTTCGCTTGAAGAAAGCGCAAATCTATTAAACGGCAAGCCGCATTGGAAAGCTGATTGTTATCAGATAATCGTACGTATTTATATAAAATATTCCAATGATAATCAACTGCATAATAAAATATGAATACAAAATGTCAATTGAACATCTAAATCGGACGGCATTCGAAGCGTCAATTTGGCCGTAGAGAGCCACAAGCAGCCAACGGGCTGCAGTTAGCCCATGTAGGCCTAAATATTGTTTTGGAAAGATTTTCAATCATTAGAAATGGACAATTAATATCATTTATATCATTTTTCGCTTCAACTGACAACTTTCATAAGAAAAACTTCGGCAATTGCTCCCAACTACTTTACCACTCATTAAATCCCTATTCGTGGAAGATAAAGTAATAAATCTGGGGGGCCGAATTCTTAAATCGAGGTTCTAAAATTCATATACGAATAAAAAATCCACCAATTTCTATAAAAATTGACCTTTTTGTCTGCGTGACGCCAAAACAGGCGATCTGTCCGCGGTCCAGACGATCAGGATGTAGAGAACGACTATGAAGAAGAAGCAGTTCTCGGTGTGTATGAGGTAGTTGTCGTGCAGGGGGTGGTACAGGAATATGAACTGCAGCACACCTCCCGGCATGCCACACAGACCAGCGAGCAAGGCGCATAGTGTCTCCTTAATAAACCTGCAAGACATTTTGTATACATAAAACTTTACATAATATAAATATATAATATTGTATATATATATAATATATTATATATATAATATATATATATATATATATATTATATATATATATATATATATATATATAAAAATATAAAAAATTTAGTACATGCGCCTTTGATGAACTAAAATTCGAAATTTCGAGCGAGAAAATTTCAAATTGTCATTGCGGAATAGACATGAAAAATAACTAACCCGGAAGATCGGCTCTTATCATCATTGCCGGTGATTTTCCTCCTCCAGAAGTGAATAGCAAAAGTAAATGCCGTGCCAAAAGTTAGATGGAAGTAATAAGAGTTCCAAGGCACGCTGTAATGTCGGTCGTAAATGCTGGGATCAGTGTCGTGCCACGTCCAGTGTAGGAACTTCACCGCCACGATGTCGTATGGCAAGTCGACGAGCACCTCCACCAGACCAGCTGCAAAATGGAAACTCTTTATAATAATAATCAGATATTTATGTACCAAAAACTTTATTCCGAACACAAATATACCCAGCCTAGTTTTCGAAATGTGTCTTCAGCGAGTTCAATTATATGTACGCTAAATAATGTGTAAGAACTTTAATGATCTATGTAAATTAAATCAGAATGTCAATCAATTCGAACAATATAAGTCATCGCCTATGAGATAAATTGCACATAGGGGTTTAGCGTATTAGCTTACAGTTGATTAATTTATTGCAACGTAAATTTTCTTTATATTTCAATAGAATTTCTCGTCAAGTCTCATCTCACCGGCCATCGGCTCGGCCCATCTAGGCAGTCTCAGGTGCGCTACAGCGTACGCGGCTGGGTACATGAACGACGGGTCTGGAAAAGAACACACATTTACTTTAAAAATTAAAAACAATTTCTTCAAATAAGGATATTAAATTATAGTTATAGAGTATGTTTATAAGTAGAGAATGATAATAAAATCAGCCATACATTCCGGATGAACATTTCGCAGCTGCGGAACGAATTCCCTGAATCAGAAAATTCCCATTTACTTCAAGAAATGTGTACGCAATAAATGTCGCGAAAATTCATGAAAATATATCTTGCATTGATGGCTCACATATGAGAGGAATATGCAGGGGCAACCTCCTGCCGACGAGCATGACGGTGGTCTGGGAGTGCCAGTAGTTGTCGATGTCAGGCAGCGCGAAGCATACAAGCTCAGTCGTGATGCCGTGGAACACGCACCCCAACCACAGGTACTTCCAACGTCCACCTACGATGAACGCTGCGGCACCGAGAGCAATTTTAAATGATGATTAATTGGCTTATAGCTATCTAGTATTATACGGTATATTAATGGATATAGTCTTTGTGTGACAGAGAAATCTTCGAATCTTAGCTACATGCTTGCAGATGAGATATCAAACCACATCCTACCTTCAGTGTATGATGAAGGAAAGCCACGTATGCCTCCGTACGTAAAAAAACTCAAATCAAAATAAAAAGTAAAATAATTGCTCAATAATGAACTGAAATCCACGATTTATAAAGACACGTTACTTACAATGTACGAGGGTAAGGAGCCCTATGACGTAGAACGTATACTCGGAGAGGAGGTAAGACGGTTGAGCAGCGAACGCATCCGCAGGGGAGCGAACGTGAACAAACCAGTCCAGCGTCTGTAAATTACAGGTGAATTAATAAGGAGAGGAATACAAACTTTATTTTGACCATTACAATTTTTATATAGATTCATGAGTATAGTTTTATTCGTCGGGTTAATTAGATATTCTTGCAATTCATTGTCAAAGTATTGTTGTGGCTGGTAATTTTATTTTAATGGTGGGATGCATTTCATTAAAATTTTATTATAATCAAGTTCATCCAAAACTGGGTATCTAAATTTTCAAAATGAAACAAAGAATGGTTACATAAAATTTTGAATCTCACAAATTTATAAACTTTCGCGAACTTTCCCAAATAATTTAGTTTACCCAGAAACGTTCGTTTTCTCCTGTTCCGTAAAAAACGATTAAATGGACATACTAATTTATTTTTGGTTTCGCGAATTTGGTATGTAATACATCGAAGTAAAACTCAAATAAAAGAATAATTTTCAAGAGTTGAATGCTCACTCTGGGATGGTGACTACAAATACTCACGTCTTTGAAGGGGTAGTTATCATAATTAATCCCGTAGCCCGGTAACCGTTCAGGAGAAGCCATGCCTATCACTAACGTGAGGATAAAAGACTACGACTAAAGAATCTGAGGAGTGAGGATCAGAAAACTCGGTTAACCGGATACGCGATACTGTGAAAGTGCGGATAAGCATTTTTTCGGCAATATTTTACAATTTTCAATGATGTATTGCATCGCAGGTATAGATGCACATAATTCTACGATACGTGATAGTAGTCGCACAATTTAATTGAAAGATTATGCTACTACTACGAAGTTTTTATTTAGATATAAATGGTGCGAGACTAATTACCCACCGGGCAAAGTAAAGGTCATTAATTCAATCTTATTATAATAAAATTTAGTAACAAGCGCAATTTAGGCAAATTAATACTTTAACATTCCAATTATAGCCTTCTAACCCATGTTAATATCATTTTATTAACCTTGCTAAATATACTACAAAACTTCATACTAGTTAATAAAAACATTTTCATATAATTTGACATTTATTCAAGAAAACGAAGAGAAAACTTCCAACTGTTCACAACAACTATATTCCATAAACATTTTTGTATATAATTCTCTATTAGTTAGCGGAAATTCAATTAATCTGATTAATTCATGCTCATGGAAGCGACATAAATTCAATGTCCAGAACATCTCCACGATGTTTGCTAGAAAATATCGTCCAACTGTCAGAGAAATAAAATCTGTTATGCACAAATGGAAAGAAATTGAATAACCACCTAGCGTGTGCGTGCTCAGGTCACGAGTAAATGAAGACAAGTAACATCTTACCACAGTGATACTTAGATATTGAAGTAGCTGCAAAGGTTGCGATAAGTAATCAGTGATTATATCTAACATTAAGTTCCACGAGTGCGATGCTAATATCACCACATCCCCAGCAACACTGCTGGTTCAAGGTCAGCGGCAGCCCAGTAGTGGCCCTCATGGCAGCTGTACTAACTAAATGATGCCGCAGTCAAATTTTTTATAAGGGTATATAAAAAAAAGAAACACTTTTACCTATTGTATTGTAATATGTAGTAAAGTAAATAGACGATTCATATGCATTATGGTTAAAATGAAAGCTATTGACTTTTTAGTAATGAAAAGAGCGGACAGCAACGTGAGCAATCCGCCAACAAGGTTAAGTTTAAGGGAGCTCGGCGTTCACGTGGCATGCGAGCCGTGCCACGTCTGGGACGCCAGATAGAAGAAAGATTGATGCTTACACTCCGCAGATTATATTCACGAATACATAGAATTTATTTAGAATTTTGGGTCGAATTTGTAGTTGATACAATTGAAGGTGAACACGCTGCCGCAATTGAATTCGAAGAACACCGTTGTTTTATATTATCCACAACTGACATGCAAACAATTTGAAATAATGGCTGGATTAACATAAAATTAATTCTCGTCTTAGCGTTGATCTAGTTTGCATTCCAAAATGAATTGGAACTCACTAGCTGGATAGTAAGGAAATAAAATCACGTAACTTTCCACTATATGTACAGTTGATATTTAATGCTTATTGTCACTGACGTAAGGTAATTTTAATTTAGATTTATAGCGAGTGCTTACTTTGAAGTTATCATTGTTTTGGAACTCGAACATGAAACACGAAAAAATTTCGATAAATTGTGTATATATTGTTTTTGTTCGGTAAACATCAACTGAAAGAAATAAGTATGTTAAACGATAAAAGTCCCGTTTTTGCACTTAGATATTTATGGCTTGACACTCTTAACGAATGAAACTAATTCTAGTAAATAAACGGTATCGGGTTTATATCGCGTTGCACTGCGCATCTGTCAAATTAACTTAAAACGGCAGACATACTGAACAGAAACATATTATTAGTATTATTATTATTATTAGTATAAATATCACTTAGAATTATTATTATCATTATTCCATGAAGCCGTAACCGTGGCACGTAACAAATTAGATTAGAAGCAAGCGAAAAATAAATAACCACGAGAAAGAATGAGAACGGACAAAATTGACCAAGCACTTGATTCATTGGATCTACGAAATAGTTCCGTCGTTAGGAGTCGACGGAACGCCTGCACCGAAGGAGCCGATTTTACGGAAGCCGGCAGACTGTCCCAGGTTCTGGAGGCGGCGACCGGGAACGCGATGTTGCCGACGGTAGATAGACGTGTAGACGGAACGACGAGGTCTGCTGTTGATAACAAACCAAGTCATTTTATAGAAGGCAGATCCGACATGAACAGAACAGTGACCTTGAACTGCGTGCTCTGCTGCATGCACAGCCAGTGATGATCGCGCAATAACGGCGTCACGTGGTCGAATTTTAACTTATGGCTTACGAGTCGCGCAGCAGCGTTCATTACGGATTGCAGTTTATTTATTGCCGTGGTCCGGAGTCTATAGAGTGTGGCATTACCATAGTCCAAGCTGATCAGTACGAGCGCCATCACAAGGGTCTCGAGAGATAGCGGCGGACGCTACGTATTCGTCGCAGAGCGTCGAAACATGCAATGGTGACTTTGGTAATGTGACTGCTGATAAAAAGTTCCGAGTCCAGCAGAATGCTCAGGTTACGAAACGAAGACGAATCCGTTGCCCACACAAACAGTGTTGGCTGGAGACTGATGCTGCCACCAAACAGTCGCATACCAAAGAAAGTCTGTTTTTGATGCACTGAGCTAGAGCTGTTCAGATGAAGACGACATCATTAGCTGTTATCGTCATCACCTGATGACGTCATCAGCTATTGTCGACGTCATCAGCTGTTACACTCGTAAATTCTTGGAGCACGCAGTCGAACGGGCACAGCGCAAAAGCTGCCGACGGAACAGCGGCTGACGTCGATCGTACAGCAGAAATTTTGTTAAAAAAAGGCATGGAATTCCATTACGCACACGTCACCCGAAGCATCATATGACCTCTTCCCACGAATTTATCCAGCGATAGCCACAGCGCTCGAGAGTCGCTGCGTTGCGTGTCGACTCTCTGGCGCCAAAATGACTCTCTTTTAGATCGAAGAAGCTCGACATAATTGCGCCGCGCATCTCGCCAGATGGAGGCCACAGCAGCTGCAGCAGCAGGATTGCCACGTCTGTTCATCAGGTAGACAGCCAGTTGGGGCAGTCGAACACCCCGCTTCGTGACCCGATATTCATGGTCGGAGACTCGTTCGGGATCCGAACTGTGCGTGCATGAATGAGGTCATCTCGTGCACCAGGTCAGCAGACCTCATACCTGCACGCACAGTTCGGACACCCCAACGAGTCTCCGAGGTAAAGGTAGAGTCCATAGGTATAGTTACACTAGATCGTTGACTGACAGCGCCAACCATGAGTCAGGCCGACATACGGTAGTCGTGACGACTGCAGTATTCCGCGTAAGACACCGCCGTCGAGACCGCGCCACGGACGACAGGTAACTGTTTTGTACGCTGGTACCGAGCGCAAACACAGCACCGTTCACTGAATATTCGTCCACACAGCACCGTCTACGCAATATTCGTCCACAGCACTAGTCTATGGTCGAATATTGCGATCCTGATGATGTCGACTGGCTTAATTTGGAGGTCAGCACGCGTGATGACAACGTCCAGCAATCTGTCCATTTCGTGCGTCGGTAAGGTCACGTGACTATCTATGCCATAGGTGGGCAGAAGGTCGTTCAGCTGACGAGGCGATGGGTCGCCGACACGATCTAGTCTAAAGATTAAAGCGCCTGTGATAAGGACTTGAGCGGGAAAAATCAGGAGTTAGGTGAAGATATCGCTCAATTCGACGAAACAATCGCGCGTCATGACAACCGATCTAGGACGATAGATGGCGACTGCAACGCCCCTAAACGAGGCGCAGGTGACCCTAGCACATAGCAGTGTGGGTCGGGCGATGGTATCAAGGATGAAGGTGCACGCCGCTGCTGTACCTTACTACTCCACCGTAATTCGTCGCCAGCGTGTAGAATTGCATGCTGGCCTGCTGGGCCTCGCGCGTTCGAATACCTGGAGTCCTTCAGCGCGTAGACGCGCGATGCAAACCGAGTAGTGTCGTGCCAGGTCTCAGACAGAAAGACGAAATCTAGTAAGCGCGAGCGGCTGATGTGAAGCAGCCACTCAACCTTGTTGTTCGGCGAACGGATGTTAAGGCAGCCGAACGAAAACTGACGACACGGCTGCACACAGCAAGTGGCGATCAACACTAACGTTTAGTAGGTTTTGAGGTCTACGGGTCGACACAGGCCGATGCTCAGAATCATTCGTAGAGTTCAGCGCAAATGATTGCTGCCGTAACAACGGCCTATTGCCAGTGATAACGAACACACCGTTTTCGGGCGCTGCTCGATAGGTGGCAGCAGGACGCCTATTTCGGCCGGCACGGCATCCACGATAAGACATGCTAGGTGTGGGGAAATCTTGCAAGACGATGTGGAGAATTGAAAATGAAAATGCACCTGTTAAGAACTTATAATTAAATTTTGACGAAAGTTCGTCAATTTTTCTTGTTAATGTGGAATGAGTTATATAATGAATAGAGCTTAGCAAGCACTAAACGGTAAAGGATTTCATAAAATGCGTTATACCGCTTGTACCGATATTTTTCTTTTAATCAAGTAATAAGATAAAAAACGCAAAAAAGTTAATAAAGTTTTGTTTTTATTTATTTAACTCTATTTATTTAACTTTTGTTTATTAATTTAACTCTTGAATGCCGAAGCATAAATGATAATTGCGATAAATAAAAAAGTTAAAAATAATTAAATATTAAAGGTTGCTTTCCATCTCTATGAAGGATTTCATTCGCTCCTTAATTCTGCATTCATAGATTCAGTATTTTCCATTGACGCAGCATGGATTTGAAATTGTGACATTTTTTCGGTAACATATGTAGTACTAATCTAAATACGTATGCGGTGAACATGCACGGGTGAATTACTCCCCCATAGTGATTGAATTTTAATTGCTTTTTTTTTGTAGGTGTGAGCCTCAGAGTCGGAGCTCAAAGAATAAGGAATGGTTGTTATATAGGACAAAATAGTGCAACGAAAGTCGTCTATATTACTTATTACAATACTGTTAGATGTACCATATGGGGCAAAACCGATTGAGCAGTTTTGAGGCAAAATAAAAGAGTAATGGAGGTACATAAAGAAGAAAGTTCATTTTCCTCGAGGTTAGCATAACATACCAGTTAGAATACTTATGCTTTGAAAACCATATCAGGAAGATGGTGGCCGTTAGCTGCACAATACTGTTGGAGTCGTTCTCGGAAGTTTCCTTTAGCACGCTCACGCATCTGGCGAGGTATGGCCATAACCTCTGCAATAATCCGTTCCCTTAGCTGTGGTAGGATGTGAGGGTGACTTCTGAACACCCTTTCTTTTAGATGTCCCCAAAGAAAGAAATCACAAATGCTCAAAGCAGGTGACCTCGCAGGCCACTTTAAATTACCTCTCAGAGACACCAGACGTCCGGGAAACATGTGTCTCAAAACATTGAGTGACATCCGGGCTGTGCGAGCTGTAGCCCCATCCTGCTGTAACCACACGTCTCCCAATGCTTCATTTTCAACAATGTTTCCATCCTGGGCTGCAAGAAATTTTGCAACATTATTGCCAGAGGTGGGCAGTAGCGCGCTACATGCAGCGGTAGCGGTATAGGCGCTACATTTAATTTTAAGGCAATGTAGCGGTAGCGGTAGCGCCCGCTACATATATAAGTAGCGATACGAGGTTTTGCCGCTACAGCGCTACCGCTACATTTATAAATAAAGCCTTTAGATCAGTGGTTCCCAAAGTGGGTGATGTCGCCACCTAGGGGCGGTAGAAAGATTTTGGGGGGCGCGGTAAGGAAGTAAAGGGCGTTTGGGGAGCGGTAGGCGGGGGGG